CGATTTTTCATAAAAAAATTCAATTTTTTTTTTGTGATCTCTAAGTATTTTTTTTATGCATTTTTAGGGTTTTTTTTAGGATTTTTTGTTTTCCATAGAACCTAAACCTATATATATATATATATATATATATATATATATATATATATATATATATATATGTTGGTGATTTAATATCATCCACATTATTTAAGTATAATAGGATTAATTTTGTTGGCTAAAAGTGATATTGTTGAATATTCAACAAGTTAGGATGGTGTAGGAGTACACATTTGTTCAAGTTTTTCAAGATTCAAAGTACACTGTTATTTTGGACAGAAGCCCCTAAACAAACGGGGGTCCAGGGGCAGCGGCCCTAGGAGAAGGGTCAAGGGGCGGCAGCCCTTGGCGGGGTCCAAGGGGCAGAGATTCATTTTATGACAGGTTTGCTATATCAAAAAATGCATCAAAAATCCAATTTTTGAGAAAATTGATCCTTTACCCTGAGATTTGTTTATGACAGGTTTGGTAGTTTTGCTGACAGTTTGTAACTGTCTAGTGACAGTTTTTAGGCGGGAATCATATAGCCGTTTTTGGTTATTTTTCTGGTACATCTTTTTGAGGAACATTTTCACATATATTCTCTGATTTCGTATCTCTAAATTTCATCTAATTGAGTGTTCGATTTGTACCATCGAAATACTTCAATTTAATAGTCAATCACGACTTTCACAGAATCTAAATAATCTGTTCATCCCCTATTTCTAACATATACATACAAACATTTTTTGTGGTACTTGGGCATGTGTATTGTAGAACAACACCTTCTTGATGGATGAACGATGAGAGTGACAATTCTATGTATTTTATATCATTGTCAACACATAACAGCTCTATACGTTTTCAGAATTGTTTCTAAATTATTTAAGCAAATGTAAATTTATATAATGGGCAATTCACATCAATGATTCATAATATAAATCCATTTGAAATGTGTATGATCATAAAAAAAAAGCCTAGCTCCTCCCTTCAGAAGGGTAAAGTGCATGTTTTAAACAATGTAATATATTAAATCATTATGTGTGAGATCCTTGTATTAGAGTTCATTAAAAATAAAAATTTAATATCAATATTTAACTATTAAATGTTTTATAAAGTAATACATTTACATAACATAATGTAATCTTTTGTAATATTTATAAAAAAAAAAAAAATGCTTCGGAAAATTTTTGAGACTTTATTATCAAATTAACAAAATGGTTTTCTTTCCTTATAAAACTCGTTAGAATTTTATTTAAAAAAAAATAGAAATTCCGAAAAAATAACAGGTGGAAAATAAAAATTCTAAAACTCCCACAAAATAACATATATCAAAATGAAAGAGAAGAAAACATGTGAAAAAAAATATTTTTATTTATAGGTTAGAAAAGGGACTTAAATTCATTTACATTAATTGGTATGTCATGTTGTTTTGCCAATTAACACAAAATAAGAAATTGGCTCAATTTTAGTATTTCCCAGCAAACCAGAGTTAAAATATAATCTTAGTCTTAAAACATATAATGACCAAAATAAACATGGCCTATGTCAAATAATGAAGAGCTACATGTGGAGGCAACCAGATTGGCGGATGACTTGGGTGGATGGCGCTAGAGAAATTTAAACATACGTTCAACTTTAAAGCCTATTCCAAGGATCTCCTTGATATTTTGATTCTGCACCACATAATCGGTAATATCCCAGATGTTTCATACTACACCAGATGCATGAGCAAATATGGCAGTCGAAGAGCAAATGGGATGTTTTGACGAAAGAAATATGGCAATCAAATATGTCAAATAATGAAGAGCTACATGTGGAGGCAACCCATGCCGGATTCTAGTGTTCTCACTTAGTAGCTTGGAGATAGCCTCGTCTAAAGTAGGAAGAGGATGAATGTCTAGGATTGATTCCCCTGAATTCTCAAACTTGTTTTGCAGCCTTTCGGTTAGATCTAACCGACTATAATAAACCCTGAATTACTTTGGTAGTTCTATAAAAGAATTTGGGCTAACCAACTTCGTTTGATCTTCTATGACTTGAATATAAAATACATATGCATTGATGCACTAATGGATTGATTTGGTTGTTGTCGTTTTTCTAAAAATCTGGCCACAACTAATATTTGTAACAGACAATAAAAGTGGTAAACTGTGGAAAAAATGTCCCAAATTTGTTTCGCGGTGGTGTACCCCCAGATACTGTTGATGAAAATCTATGCATTAACGAATCCTAATATTTTAGCCTTTTGAAGGTCCTGCATGCATGAACGTCAGTTCTCTGGCAGTCGACGTCGATCATACATACTTATAACTCTACAATGATAGGAATTGTGTGTTGGAGAAAGCATATTGAGACAAGGAGATAGAAAGAGAGATTCTTGTACAGACAACAAAAGCTTTTATTAATCTCCAATCAACACAATTTACATAAGATTATTACATGTATATACTAGTTATGTTTTTTGGCCCGTGCTAAGCACGAACCATGTAAGGTAATTTAGGCATTTTGAAAAATTAAAGTACAATGTTATAAGTGGGTGGATTTTCCAAAATATGTCTTGATAAGAAAAAATGAAAGTGGAATTTTGTAATAAGGAAAGAAAATGAAAATGCAATGTTGGAAATGCATTGTATTTGTCAAATTACTTAACGAAAAAATAAAAATAAAGGGCTAATTTGATTTGTAGACATAGCAAAACACAAACCAAAATCATGTTCAGTGGCTGTCAATACGAAATTATGTTGTTATTTTAAAGATATAAGCTTGAAAGATCAATTTGCAATAGATAATGAAGGTAAAGTTGAAGTAATTGTTTTCCTACTTCCTACGTGACCAAACAGCCACACCCAATACATCAAGCATTGTAGTGTAGGAGTTAGTTCTCATATCATATCATGATAGAGCATTGTTGACAATAACTCGTGTGAGATATTCGATGTCAATATGAAAGTGTAACATGTAAAAGTTATGGAGGATGAAAAGCAAGGATTTTCCATAAAATCATGCATTTGCCTTAGTTCTAGGGATGAGAATTTGGCCCGAAAACCCGAACCGAACCGAGAACCGAATCGAACCGAATCGAATTAGACCCGAATAAGCAATTCGATTCGGTTTTCGGGTATCTGTATAAGGCTTATTCGGTTTTCGGGTTATTCGGTCCGGGTTACCCGAATAAGGGCTTATTCGGTCCAAAAGGACCGAACCGAATATGAAAATTCATTATTTTTTCCCTTGCACGATTGCTTATTCGGTCTTGTGTTCTATCGATCGTTACCCAAAATACCCACGTAATACACCATAAAAAAATCAACGAAATCGATATTCGATCATCCGGTAGCGTATTACACCAACTCGACAGTAGCGTATTACACCAAATCGACAACATTACTCTTTGATCGATTGAGGTTTTTCTCATCCTTGCGAGTTGCATCTGCTTCCCTTGCGAGTTGCGATAACCTGGAATCTTTGATCAATCATCACTAGTTCAAAGTTCAAAGTCCATTAACGATAAGAAAAAAATCTGCCCTTGCGTTTGGAAAAAAAAATTATCTCCTCATCCTCGTTTTCTAGTTTCTATTGTGATCAAACTCCATTCAAGTCATGGAAAATTAGGTTCTAAATCAAGAAACTCAAGTAAGTATTTGTATCTTAATCTACTACTCAATCTTTCAATGTGTTATTTGTAAATGTAATTTGGGTTATTTGGGTTATTCGGGTTATTTGACTCCTTAATCATCTTGTACATGTTATTTGGGTTATTCGGGTTGGAACCGAACCGAACCGAATAATACCCGAACCGAACCGAACCCGTATTGCTTATTTGGTTCGGTTTTCGGTTCATACAATTACCCTTATTCGGTTTTCGGTTTATTCGGGTTCGGGTCGGTTCGGTTCGGTTCCGACCCAAATAACATCCCTACTTAGTTCTTGTATAATGAATAGGAATGCTAAAAAATCTTCTCATTTAGACTTCACTTATGCATTAAAACTTCTGCCTCCATGTGTCTCGTAGTTGACGCTTTTTTGTTTTTAAAACACATGAAAGCAATCTCCCTGACACATTCTTGAACCATCATAATGGTTGGCATATTCTCGAACCATCACAATGGTTATGTATATTTTAGTATTTTTAACAAGTAAATTAATGCAGTTAGAAAGTCAGTTATAGTTAGAAAGGAAGTTGAAGTTAGGAACCGTTATATGGGTCAAAAGTCACAATTGTTCACTAAACATTGTGATGATTAGTACGTGTATATATATATATATATATATATATATATATATATATATATATATATATATATATATATATATATATATATATATATATATATATATATATATATATATATATATATATATATATGTGTGTGTGTGTATGAATTGTTTTTGTAATTGTAACTGATGCTCTATCAATAAAGGCTTTAGTGCACATATAAACTTCTCTCTTCTCTGATACGTAATGTTCATCTTTATTGCTTGAATTCAATGTTTCTTGGGGTTAATTCCAACAATGTAACCGTTGCAACCCTTAGAGCAATAACTACCAACTTGTAACTGCCCCATCTTACTTTAAACGACATTTAATAAACACTAAATCCAGCTTAATATTTCAACATTGTGTATAGGATGGCTAGAAAAGTTGAGCCAAAGGCCAAAACAAATAGGGATGAAATGCCAAGTAGGGTCTATTTTAATTTTTAATCTAGCAAAATGCTAATTTGTACGTACCGCCATGGTCCCTATGATTCGGAAAAGCAACAAAAAATCAAGTCACATTAATAAATTAAAGAACCGATGGATTAAATAATCTGAGAGCACAAAAACGTTGCAGGATACCAACCGCACGACTAAAATCAACATTACAAAGAAAATGGAATGTAATCATTCACATACAAAGTTACTGATGTTTTAATAAATAGCTACGCTTGAAAGAAAATCTGCAAATGGAACTTCATATTCAAGACTAAAGACAACATTTACCACCTTGGATTCCGATTCTGAAGCATATGTTTCTTTGGTTTAAAGATATACCTGGAACCATATATTGAGCCGTATATATCCATCAAAAGAGGATACTGCAGTTTAGCAAATAAAATAACCGGTATTGCAGCAACTACAGCAATAAATATCGGCACCCAGATCAACTTGTTATGGTAAAGCACGAAGAAGCTGAAACTAAAAGCAACCATCATGGTCATTATGGAGAGGAAAAGTGTTGCTAGACCTATCATTAGTTGTTTGGGTAATACTTCTAAGAAATCTTGCTCAGCATAACGAGATGTTAGCATGGATAAGAACATGAGGATTGAAGCTGAAGAGGAGAACAAAGAAATAGCATCGGATATGACAAAGGCAATGTAGATTTCTTTTCGGATAAACATTGGAAGGCCAGTGTCTTGGTGGTACCCACCAGGAATTGAAAAGGCTACCCCAAATACCATGGTGGCTATAAGTGCAGCAACCACCATGCATTGGTTAGCTGTTCCTTTTATCCAATCCTCACCTTTAGAAACTAGCTGCTTATGGTTCTCGGTGAATAATTCATGAGGTGTTAGGCCAGCTGCATTCCTTTTTTCTCTTAAAGAAGGAAGTATCATAGCCTCTACTTCCTACAACAGAAATATCAGATCATTAATGTCATTCATTAACAGCATTTGAAATCAGGTAAAGCTAAATTTATATCCGTGGATCCCATGAACAGATGTCATTTCAAAAATGACATTTTCTTGACGGTTGGATAGGCCTTTGATCTGTTAGTTTTTCATGTCTTAACCTCTTTCATAGTAATTGTGAAATCTAGAAAAAGTATTTTTATATGAAATATAGATTGAAAGATGGTTTCTTGAGCATAATAGTTGCAATGGCGAAATAGATTGCATGGATGGTTTCTTGAACATAATAGATGCAATGGCGAAATAGATTGCATGTACACGATTATTATATAAAGTAACTAGTAACTAAAGTGGGTAGAACCAACACAAGATCAAAATAAACATCCAGATTATGTACATGCTTGTGAACAGGTTTCACTGATCAAAGTATTTGGGTTTTAGTCCATTTATAAAACCTTGGTGTCATGTCATTTAAGTGATAATTAGGTAGGTGTCTGTGTATATATAATTAGGCTTAATGAAGAGGAAAAAAAAGGATTTAAATGAAGAATGCAAAGGTATATGATAAAAGGTGTAAACAAGGAATAGATTGAGGGTAACCAAGGAATAGATTGAGGGTAAAATAGTTTATTGAAACCCTTTATCATCTCACATGTAGTCTCAACTATCACCATGCATTCAAATTCAACACATGGAATTAAAACGACATACTGTTTCTTACTTTTCGACGAAACTAGAGTCCCATCGATAAACACAATAGCTTTTAGTAGACCGACTGTTTATAGGATCCTCATCGTAGTCGGTATCTGAACCCATTGTAGTCGGAGATAATATAACCTAACTTACAACACTTACTGAAAAAAAAAAGCAATGCATGGACATGCAATAGTCATCTAGTTAAGTTTTTTCATAATTCTTATGTATTTCTCTACGTTCTCAAATGTATCTCCTCGTTCTCAAATGTATCTCCACTTTACACTTTTCATTTCAGAATTATTGGGGACTCACAAGGTTTTGTTTCAATCATCCCATAATCAATGTTTTAAAACCTGGGTCGATCCCATAATCAATGTTTTAAAACCCGGGTCGATCCCATAATCAATGTTTTAAAACCCGGGTCGATCCGGCCAGTTCAACCGTTTGGACCGTGATCCGGGGTAGAAGGCGGATCAATTAAGAGCGGGTTTTTGTAAGAATACGGACCGGATTGAACCGGCCGGGTATCCCATAAACCGCGGTTCGATTACTTCTCGAACCGGTTAAAACCGGATTGACCAGTTTTAATAAGGCTTGGATAGTTGGATACAAGTAGCGAACGCCAAAACAACGAGCCGTTTGCGGTTTCTTCAATGTTTTTCAATGTTTAAACTTTGTGGATATCAAATTATTGGTTTTATATGTTTATGCATTATGCAGGAAAAGTAAAAATATATAAAGATAGAAAAAATACCACAAACCGGGTTGATCCGGCGGTTCAACCGGTTGACCCGTGAACCGATCATTACATCGGGTCAACTAAAAACCCGGGTTTTAAATCATTGCCCATAATCCTTCAAAATTTCCAAACAATATTTCCATTAAGACAAACATATCACTTTTTGAGTTCTAGAATGCCTTAGACATAGGAAACCCTACAAGCCTATGGGCTAAATATAGGCCAAATTAACGTACAATATTGCATTCCAAAAAAAGGAAAATGCTAATAATAATGGGGAAAAGGCTAATCCTAATTAGCATATTGCAGTTTATTTCTTTGGAATATTTTTGGTAAGTCATTGACTTGTTCATCATTAATCCAGAACAAATAAGGAGATTATAAATTTTTGAATAACATGTAATAAAAGGAAAGGAAATGATGTTGGCATGAATGTAGATTACAATGTTGCAAACTATTTGAACCATTTAAATCATGGTGTAGGTCACATTTATTGTACATTTTCATATTTTAGTCACCAATGATATTGTTGTGTGTATATATGTGTTCATTATGATGAAAGTGTGGTTTGTAACCAAACATTGTTAATCCGTGTTGTAATGTCCGGGATTTGTCAGGTATTATGTTGCTTCCTATCCAAGTTACGCTTATGTTTATATTGGGTTTGAGGGTTGGAGCGTACGCTAGGGGTATATGGTGTACGCACGTCGTACATATATGAGGCGCAGAGCAGGGAGTCCCCATGTGTACGCTGGGCCTACCCATGCGTATGTTGGGCATAGGTTGATCAGATGCAAACCCTAAAGTATAGGGTTTGCACAATATTTAACAAACTTATAACCCTCCAAACCCTTATCCTCTCAGCCTTCCTTGTCCTCGCAGTGCCAAACTCGAACCCTAACTCCATTGCATGTATCTTGAGCTTACTTTGAGCATTTTGGTGTTGTTTTGGTGGTTTTGACGAGCAAGGAGCTTGAAGAAGGAGCAAGGACTTGAAGAGAGCTTGTAGATCCAGAAGTTTGACATCTTTTCTGACTCATTTGAGGTATCAAGCTCCAACCTTGACCATTGTATGCTTAGATGTAGTTTTGGGGTGTGTTTTATGTCACATTTTGGTCCTATACTTGAGGTCCTTTGATTTTTGGAAGAATCTGTCCATAAGAGCTGTCCTTTTGAGCTCTTGGAAGCATTTAGAACCATAAAAATCAGATCTTGATGGTTTAGCTCCAACCATGCAAGTGATAGATGGCCACAAAGTGAGCTTATGGATTTAATGGGTGTCTTAATCCCCATCCATGCATGCAAAAGCATAAAGTTCATAACTTTATGGTTAAGGATGTTGTTAGGAGCTTAGATCTATGTTCTTGACGTTGCGACTTAATGGATTAAGTCAAAAGAAGGAGTTTAAGGTGACTGGCAGGAATGTTGTGCATATCCCCTAGTATACTGTGCGTTTTGGGTCAGCATCCCACTTCTGGTCAAGGCTAGCGTACGCCGAGCGTATGTGCTAGGTACGTTGCGTGTACGTATGCGAAGTGGTTAAGGTATTTTTGGGCCTTAGGAATTTGGGCCTGAATTTGTTGGGCCTCATGACCCACTATGTAGTAAGGCCTCTGGGCATAGGATTGGGATTTATGGTATTAGGCCTTTTTAGGCCTTATTGGGCCATAAAGCTTAAAAGAATGGATTTCGGTCGTAAGTTGTTTATGGGTTGGACCTTGAGGGAAGAGGCCCATTAGGGCAAGGACTAAGGGACCTTGCCTTGGGACACGAATTAGAAGTTAGGCTATAAGGGAGTCATACTTGGACCCAATATCTAACTAGGGGACTTATTATGCTATAAGGAGAGGAGTCCCGAGCCATCCGAGGAGTATGATTTCGGCACACACAGTTGAGGTGAGTTACCTTCCCGGAATGAGCGGGTCGAAGGAACCAATGTCAGCTGACTAGTACTTGTTTATAGTAGAGATGATTGTCTTTGTAATTGTCTGGTATGCAACTATCTGTTGTGTTTTACGTGTTTCTACTCATTGATATTATGTGGTAGTGGCAGGGGTGAAATAGACCCTTTAACCGATTGAAAGAGACCAAAGGTGTAGAGCAACACCCAAATATGTTCGGCAGTAACCGGTTGAAAGAGACCGAAGGGATAAGCCAGCACCCAGATATGTTAGGCAATATTTGATTTATGTGCTTGTATGTTATGATATTAAATGGTAGTGGTAGGGGATGAAATACACCCGATAACAGGTTGAAAGAGACCGAAGAGGTAGGCCAGCACCTAGATATGCTCGACAATATCTGGTTGAAAGAAACCGAAGGGGTAGGCTGATAGCCAGATATGCTTGGTAGTATCCGGTCGAAAGAGACCGAAGGAGTAGGCCAACACACGAATATGCTAGACAATATGTTTATTGTATGGTATGTGGTATGATGGGGGAACTTACTAAGTTTTGTGCTTACGGTTTTTCAATTTTGGTTTCAGGTACCTCTTTTCGAAAGGAAAGGATCTTACATGATCTCATCGCATCACACCATGATTTTCCACATTATGAGATTCTTAGGATTTGTACTCTAATATTATTTTCCTATGACATGTTTTGACACTTAGGTTTAATTATGATTTGGATGACACTATTGATTTTTTTAGACTACTTTTTTATAAATTACTTAATAAAAAATGAAATTTTTGGTCTTGAATTTTGGGATGTTACAAATTGGTATCAGAATCTTGGTTTGAGGGATTCAGACATACTTTCGGGGGTGTCTAGACTCAAATATAAGGTTTGATAGGTTTTTACAAGAAAAACAATTTTCTCAAAATTAAAATTAAGGGTTTCTAATAAAGAACAAGAAGTGTGATGCATGCAATCGGCCGAGCTCAAATATGTTTTCCCCAAGATACCAATATATGTTATGTAATGATATAAAGTATGAATATGTGAACTACATGCTAGATTATGGCTAAGGATCTAAAGGATGCCTTGTATGCCTACTGTATGTGCTTATTGAACTGCATACTAGTACTGATTAGTCAGTGATATGATGACCTGATTAGGATATGCTTGGTTTTAGTTACTCAATGCTCGACTAATTTCAGAATGTTAGGTCTAGCCTTATTTCGTAGCTCTTGTCTGAGTCCAACCGTTGTAGGGTAGTACCTCTCATTCAAAGAGTTATCTAGTCTTAGTAATATGTAATGGTAGTCGTGAGCTAGTTATGGAGAAATAGTAGGACTTCTTATACAGGTGATGGCAGAGAGTGGTTCGGTGAATACCCTAGGCAAGCCTAGGATGAGATTAGTATCAGAAATTATTTGATTGTGAATCGTAAACATGGATAGGAGGCGGCTTTGGTAAACCAAGGTAAATCAGGAGGAAAGTATGGATAGATTTGGAAGGTAGTATAGGCCCGTACTACAGAAAGTAGAGGATTTGTGTACTTGACTCTTGGGGAGCGGTGGGGAACCAAGAGTGGCAGAGTGGATGACCTCTCGATGTTATGTATGACCCTGACTATTGTGTATTTTGTTTCAGAATGGGCACGTTATGGAGCAGGGGGCTCAGGATATGGTTCAAGCTCAAGTATGAGTTCCAAACCAATTGATGATGGATTGCACGAGTTTATTGCATTTGAGATTACGAGAGGCGTACTTCAAGCGACCCTGGTGATTTTTGGGCTGATCAATGAGGATATCATTGAGCTGATCGAGGATCGCCTTAGGACATTCAAGAGTGACATGACACCTGGCTAACCAGAGACTCGAACGCTCTCCTTCAAGGATTTCAGGGGATGTGGAGCACCAGACTTCTGCCGTCCCGAAACCCTCATGACGACACCGTTAGGCGTGGCGGGTGGCAAGACGAGCCACAAGATTTTTCTATCTGAGGCTGTTTATTCTTCTTTGTCTTGCATTTTCGGATTGGTTATGAAGTCATTGAGTTTTTGTTAACTTTTTGTTATTAGTTGTTGATTAAACAATTCTAAAAGCTTGATATATTTTATATAATACATATAATATAATTAAATATTAATACAACCTTGCCATGCCTTTTGGAACGTTGCTAAATATATGTAACTCATTCTATTTTATATATATCTTTACTATCTTATAAAAGAAATCTAACTATTTCTAAAAATAGATTGATTATAATAATAATATTTTTTTAACACGTCCAAATGATGAAGCTGATAGTACAAGTAATCATTAATAAAATAATATTAAATTTTAACCATATTTTGAATTCAAATATTTATCATCAAATCTCCTTATATTTCTCAACAATTTGATATGGTTCCCTCAAATCTCGGATTCATTCAAATTTTGAACCCTTTTAGATATCCTTAAATTTAGTATGTTGATTCAAATATCCCTCCAATCGCATATACCTCTTTGCTCCCTCCTCTGTTATAAAGCTCACCGTCCAGGAACAAAAAACGATTTCATTTCCCAAATAACACCATAGTTTGATTATTTTGTCTTCGACATGTACTTTCTTTTGTAACATAACATTTTTGTAGAGGAAACATATCACCGAAAGAATTTACACGCCCAGCCGCTTTGCGCGGGTACACTGCTAGTATATATATATATATATATATATATATATATATATATATATATATATATATATGTGTGTGTGTGTGTGTGTGTGTGTGTGTGTGTGTAAGTTAACATGCTTCCTACAAATTTAAATATGATCAATGAAACACAAAAGCAGTTTAGAGCATCACAAGTCCCTAATTTTCCATTGCATGTACTAAAATCTGGTTTCTTTGTTGTATGGTGTAACTTCGTCATGCAAGATATGTGACATATTTAGATGGCTTTGTTGAAAAGGAAGTTATGTAAATGCATCAACACCGGAAAGAAAATAAAGATACAAGGAAGAAATATGGCAAGCAGCCCAGAACAGAAGCTAGTAGAAACAGATTTACCTTGAACCACAATAATTCTCGTTGCATTTGAAAAGCGACTCCCGAGACATTCTGAAGTAGGTTTTTCTCTGCCTTCTTCACAACCAAATGCAACATATTATTTCCTTCAGGGTCTTTGAGAGGAGTTATCATATCCTTCATGGAGCCAATATCATATAATAAATTGTAGATTCTCTCCTGACGATGAGAGACAGCAACATGAAATATGCTTTGGTTGTTATCATTTAGCTCCCATATAAGTTCAGGATATTGACTAATGAGCTCGATCACGAAATTAGTGTTTCCCATTTCTACAGCAACAAATAGTATTCTGGAAGAATACATCCGCTTTCCGTCTTTCATAACCAGGACTGCCTTTCCATTTTTCATCATTGTGTCATGGGGGCCTCTGAGTAACTCGTCAACAAACTTCTTAGGCATTCTCATAATATTTTTCCAAATCAGTCTTACTAACTTCATCTTCATGGCTTCCCTTCTCGCTTCTGTATCTCCTAACTTCACTTCAACTACAGCCAAAGATTGAAAACTAATCAAAGATGCAACCATATGTTATATATGCATTCAAGATGATTGTTAATGTTTGAAGACTATTTGTAGGAGGAAAATCTAGAGAAGATAATACTCACTTGATTTAACAATTCCCTGAAAAATATTTGGTTTCATATTGGCAAAGGCATGACGCTTTTGAGCCAAAGCTAGAAGTACACCCACATTTGGTGCAACTTCCTGCCTGTCAACTACTATCTTTAGTGCAATATCTACAAAAGATTATATAATCACTTAATAGGGGTAAATGTTGCAGCAAAAGCAACAGAAATTAACCAGAAATTTGCGAAACAGAGAATAAATTTTTTACTTTAAAACCCTTGCAAATTAATGAATGGATTCATTTTTAAACCTCTAAATCCCGAAACACCAAAAGAAACTTGATCCGATCTTAGGATCTCAAGAAGTGCCTGGGTTTACATTTTAATATGAATAGTAAAGATCATATGCTCAAGATTGTGATAGCTCATATGTAGAAGAAGATCCGACTAACTGATGATCCAGCGCCATGGAACATAGATTATAAATTCTCCACAAGAAACGCGAATGAAACGCCGCGTTCCGGTGGATCAACAGTCCTAACCAGCGCACGGGAAAACGGGTCAGGCCCTTTTAATTAATCGGGCCAAACTTTGGGATTGTTTTGGGATACACTTAATTGCAAGGCTACGACTTTGGAAGCAAAACAAATATTGTTTATTGAGCGATAGGTAAGACTTAAGACGCGCTCAGATTGGTTGGTAAGATACCGAAAAATCTATAAATGCATGACATAAATGAAACACGTGAAACATGTAAGCTACCTTCTAAAATACTCACCAAAAAGATCAGCCTCGATGCATTTTATTAAGACCCAAACCCGATTTCGATGCATCCAAAAGTCACCGGTCATTTTATCAGAATCATCATATAGATAATTGACCGAGTCATGGTTTCCGACTAATGCAGCCATGTACAGTGGCATCATTCCTTGAGCACCAGGGATGGTCGGTAGTCTCTTGTTCCAGTGCACCATAGTTGTAATCATTTCCACGTTTCCAGCTGAAGCTGCCAAGCAGATAGCTGTGTTGCCGTGAATATTTTGAAGTTCCAAATCCTTTGCGTCCATTAATTCCACAAGAGCTTCAACGAACTTGGTGTATTGGGCAGCTGTTGCTATGTGAAGTGCAGTGTCAAAATTGTGTGTGATGTTAAAGTAACTCTGAACTATGTCCACTAATATTAGTTACCACATGTTTTATTTAAATCTTTAATTAGCTGTTATTAGCTTGAATAAATCAAAGCCACGTGAGGTGTGAGCTCCTGGTCTTTAGTATGCAGTTAGTAAGTTTCCTCCTTTTATGCATTAATTTATGTTTAAATAGCAAGGCAATGTGCTCTGTATTGTATCCCCACGTTTAAAGAAGTATTCAATAAAGCAGTGAAAGTACGTTTGCCTCATATAATTGCTCTTATACTCTGTCTTATTCACTCGTGTATATTGCCAAATACCAACATTTGGTATCAGAGCATAAACTGGTGTATGCCTAAGTATCAGTCTCGTGAAGAGATGTCAGGAAGCAATGGCAATGGTGAAAAGGACGGACAAATCACCCTCCACTATCCGATGTTGTCCAGGAGTAATTATGGGGCATGGGCAATCAAAATGCGTGTGTTCATGCAAGCTCACGGTGTATGGGATGCTGTTGAGCCTCGAACAGCCAACACGGTGGTGGAGGTGAAGAAGGACAAGATGGCACTAGCGGCCATTTACCAAGGAATCCCAGAAGAATTTGTGATGTCGCTGTCTGAAAAGAAAACGGCCAAAGAGACATGGGAAGCTTTGAGAACTATGTTTGTAGGGGCAGATAGAGTGAAGACTGCAAGAGTTCAGACACTAAAAGCTGAGTTTGAGGCCATGATCATGAAGGAGACAGAAAGTGTTGACGACTTTGCCGCGAAGGTAATCAATGTCGTCAGCACCATGCGTACATTGGGAGAGAATGTAGATGAGGACTATGTGGTAAAGAAACTACTCAGGGCGGTGTCATCAAAATTCCTTCATATTGCCTCAACTCTTGAGCAATTTGGGGACTTGGACACAATGAGTGTGGAAGAAGTAATAGGCCGATTGAAAGCTCATGAAGAGAGACTGAAAGGGCATGGAGAAAGTGATGATCGAAAACTGCTCCTGACTCATCAAGAGTGGTCCGAAAGAACAAAGAAAAAGGGAGAAGGTGACTCCAAATCTAAGTCGAATCGAGGGGGATTTGGAAGCTCACGAGGTCGAGGTAGGGGTCGAGGTAGAAACAGCGGTGGCCGAGGTAGTCATGGAAGGGGTACCTCACACCAACAACGAGAAGGGAGTAAAGGTTCATCCGGTAGCCAAGATAAAAGTGGGGTACAATGCTACAACTGCCAGGAGTTCAGGCATTATGCAGCTGGGTGCAAGAATCCAAGAAAGGAGAGGAATCAAGAAAACAACTTGATTCAAGAAGACAATGAACCTGCTCTGTTGCTATCCTCACTTGAAAAGAAAATAGAATATGGTGAAGTATTCTTGAATGAAGAGAGTGTGAAACCAAAATTAAGATCAAAGGGAGGAACTTCAAATCAGTCTAAGGTATGGTACCTTGACACTGGAGCAAGTAATCACATGACAAGTGATGAAACTAAGTTCTGTGATCTAGATCGGAAAGTCCAAGGCTTCGTGAAGTTTGGAGACGAATCTAGAGTAAGGATCGAGGGAAAAGGGTCCATTGTTTTCCGGTGCAAAAACGGTGAACAGAGAAAACTTCTCGAGGTGTATTACATACCCGACTTATGTAGCAATATCATAAGTCTGGGACAATTATCGGAAGGAGGAGATGAGATTAGAATCAAGGAACCGTATTTATGGGTACGTGATGCAGCTGGCCGATTACTAATGAAAGTTCGAAGATCCATGAATCGTCTCTACAAGATCGAGTTGGAGGAAGCAAGATCCACTTGCTTAATTCCAAAAATCAAGGATTCTACATGGCTATGGCATGCCCAATTGGGCCATGTTAATTTCACTGCGCTTAAACTCATGGCTGAAAGAAATTTAGTCGATGGAATGTCAAAGATAAGCATCCCTTCTCAACGGTGTGAAGACTGTCTGGTAGGAAAACAAACTAAAAATCCGTATCCATCTCATACTAATTATAGGGCAAAGAGAAGGCTTGAACTCATTCATGGGGATCTATGTGGACCGGTTTCCCCTCCCACACCTGCAGGTAACCGGTACTTTATGCTTTTGGTAGACGACTTCAGTAGAGCTATGTGGGTTTATCTCTTGAAGACAAAAGATGAAGCCTTCCAAACATTTAAGAACTTCAGGGTAAAGGTTGAAGTGGAAACTGGTGAGAAGATGAAGATCTTCAGAACTGATCGCGGAGGGGAGTTTCTCTCTAACCAGTTCACCAGGTATTGTAACGAAACAGGGCTCGAACGTCACTACACTTCGCCATTTTCGCCACAGCAAAATGGCGTAGTGGAGAGAAGAAATAGAACCGTGTTGGAGATGGTTAGGAGCAATTTGAAAGCCATGAGCATTCCAGACATATTATGGGGAGAAGCTGTGAATCACTCGGTGTATGTGTTGAATCGGGTCTGTACAAAAGCGTTAAAAGAGTCAACACCATATGAAATGTGGTCCGGTCGAAAGCCAAATGTGAGTCACCTCAGAGTCTTCGGTTGTTTAGCACACATGATGATTGCCAAGAACCATCTAAAGAAATTGGAAGAAAGAAGCAAACGTGTTCATCTGGGAGTGGAAAAGGGATCAAAGGCGTATAAATTGTTGGACCCAGATACAGGAAAGGTGTATGTTAGTCGGAATGTCGTGTTCGAAGAAGATAAGACATGGACGTGGGAGGAATCAAAGAAGATTAAAGTAATGCCAGGAATGAGCTTCACTGTTGAAGGCTTTGACTTCAACGATGAGTTATATGATGAAAATGGTGAATGGGTTCCAGATACACCGGACCAAGGACATGGATCGCCACAGATTAATGCCGATTGGGCCGAATCCACTCAGTCCAATAGCCCACAATCCGACCCGAGTCCACATCTCACACCCTCAAATACGCCATCGGGTACACCCAATTTGCCAGATAACCCCAATCCTCCAACTCCGGTGACAGCTCCCAGCACAACCTCAAGTTCCACAGGCGGCGGTGCCCCAAAGCGCTTCCGACTTCTCACAGATTTGTATGAAAGTACAGAAGAAATTCAGATACCCTTGGAGGAACTCCTAATGACACACAGCGATGAAGAACCCTCGTCATATCAAGAGGCAAAGCAAAACCCAAATTGGGTAGAAGCGATGAAGGCTGAGATGACTTCGATTGAAAAAAATAACATGTGGAATCTCGTCGAACTACCAATTGGTCGAACACCGATTGGGCTGAAGTGGGTGTTTAAAGTCAAACGAGACCCAACTGGAAAAATAGTGAAGCACAAGGCGAGAATCGTGGCAAAAGGATATGTTCAGAAACAGGGGATCGACTTTGAAGAAGTATTCGCTCCAGTCGCGAGAATAGAAACGGTACGTGTTATCATTTCTCTTGCAGCCTCACTTGGGTGGCAGGTACACCACCTCGATGTGAGATCTGCGTTCCTAAATGGGAAATTAGAAGAAGAGGTCTATGTGTCTCAACCGGAGGGTTTTGAAAAGAAAGGTGAAGTGAACAAGGTGTATAAATTGTCAAAGGCTTTGTATGGTCTAAAGCAGGCACCCAGGGCCTGGAATGCTTGCCTTGACAAGTACCTAAAGAGACTGAACTTTAAAAGGTGTGCGCAAGAGTATTCAGTGTACACTAGGAAGAAAGATGGAAATACCCTGATTGTTGGGGTATATGTCGACGACTTGTTGGTTACAGGGAGCTGTCAAGAGGCTGTGAAGAAGTTCAAACTAGAGATGAATGAAAGGTTTGAAATGAGCGACCTTGGGCTACTGGCTTATTACTTGGGAATAGAAGTAAATCAGCAGGAGAATTACATTACTCTCAAACAAGAAGCATATGCCAAAAAACTCCTAGCTAAAACTCAAATGCTAGCCTGTAACCCTACCAAAAGCCCCATGGAACACAAGATAAAGCTCCTCAAAGATGAAGAAGGAGAACCTGTCAATCCCACTGAATACAGGAGTATAGTGGGTGGACTCAGGTATTTGACTCACACACGCCCTGATATCACGTTTGCAGTCGGCGTAGTCAGCCGTTTTATGGAAAAACCTACAATGAAGCACCTTCAGGCAGTAAAGGGAATACTTAGGTACATTAAAGGTACCACAGACTATAGGCTGACCTACAAAAGGGGACAAGAACAGATCACCATTGAAGGGTATTCGGATAGTGATCATGCAAGAGATGAGAGTGATAGAAGGAGCACAGGTGGCATGGCATTTTATGTAAATGGTAATCTGGTCTCGTGGGCCTCACAGAAGCAAAAATGTGTGGCTTTATCCTCCTGTGAAGCTGAATTTATGGCTGCCACAATGACTGCTTGTCAAGGAATTTGGTTAAGGCGACTTCTATCCAGTGTTTCAGGTCAAGCAATACCTCCAATAGCAATGTTTGTTGATAATAAGTCTGCTCTTGATCTCATGAAAAACCCTGTGTTCCATGGGAGAAGCAAACACATAGATATTAGGTACCACTTCATCAGAGAATGTATTGAGAATGGGGAGATATCAGTTACACATGTCAGTACAAATGAACAGAAAGCAGATATGCTCACTAAGCCATTAGCAAGGGTAAAATTTGAAGAGATGAGGAATCTTGTTGGAGTTATGAAGGTATGAATTTCAGAGTTACGGGGGAAAATGTTAAAGTAACTCTGAACTATGTCCACTAATATTAGTTACCACATGTTTTATTTAAATCTTTAATTAGCTGTTATTAGCTTGAATAAATCAAAGCCACGTGAGGTGTGAGCTCCTGGTCTTTAGTATGCAGTTAGTAAGTTTCCTCCTTTTATGCATTAATTTATGTTTAAATAGCAAGGCAATGTGCTCTGTATTGTATCCCCACGTTTAAAGAAGTATTCAATAAAGCAGTGAAAGTACGTTTGCCTCATATAATTGCTCTTATACTTTGTCTTATTCACTCGTGTATATTGCCAAATACCAACATGTGATGCTATATCGAACCAGCTCTGATCGTTTATTAAGGATGATTTTTGCTGCTTCCCAATCTCCATTAAATGAAGCTTGGTATAAAGGAACGCAAGTATTGATGTAGTCTTCTCTTCCTTCAAAATATAGTTCCAAACATAAAGTCAATGATCTATTATATATCCATGGGTTTTGAATCAAACGATGCAACATAAGATCAAGAGAGTAAACTTGTTTTGTTGAGTTAACAACCATAGATGCAATTAAAGATATTGCAAGAAAGATCGATACTAAAACATACCAGAAAGTAGATCCTGACAAGGATGACTGAGTGGTGGTGGTGCTCTTATGAACAATTCTGAAGAACTTAGTGGTGGTAGTGGTGGGGGAACTGGTGATGGCCCATAAGTTATATAAATTGGTGGCGGTGGTTGCTGCCACATGCTTATGGCACTAGGATCGCCTGATGGAGCTAACACCCTAGATGTTGTGCTCATATCTTCCATTGCTTAACACAACGAAAGCATTAGAAACACAAATGTGTATCAGGTCTTTGTGACCAACAGTTTGAAGATTACCTGAAAGTGTAACAGAGTGTTTAGCTATTCCCTTCAGTGCCAATATTCTTTCTAATGTTGACTGATATATAATATATTCGTTTTTTTTTTACCTACCTACTCTCTAAGAGGCTTTGACCATATTCACGAACCTTGTGATTCGTAAAAAGTCTTTGTTAAAACAATTATCAAAACCCTTATCCGTTTCGTCCCTTGGTTTATAAAGATATTACTACTTAAACCTAATTTTTTTCTATTTCAACCGTATCCTTATTACATTTTTTTGGTTCGAAACCCTAATTATTATTGCTTTTTGGTAAGTCAATTACTCATGTCATTCCATCTCGCATCAGTTAAAGGATTTTTTTGTTTAATGGTATCACAGTAGGTATTGATTAAAAAAATACTAAATCTTAAGGTATAAACATTAATTATTTTTTAAAATAAAATTTATTTATTTTTATTTATTTATTTTTTAATTTTTTATTTTTTGCAATCTACTACAACATTCATTGCATTTAATATTATATATATATATATATATATATATATATATATATATATATATATATAAAAGTATTATTCAATTTTTTAATTTTAAAAATAAAAAAAAAAGTTCTTAAATTGACAAGTATTATTTATTTAAAAAATATCGCAAAATGAAAAGTATCAAAATTTATGAAATATTAACATGTATCAAAAATTGATGTTGATTTATTAGGGTAGATATTGTATTATCTGAAGTTAAGATCCAAGGTTCAAGTCTAGTATGAAACGTAAGTAGAATTAGAAACAAAGGTAAATTACACCAATTGTCCCTTGTTTATATGTCAAAACATATGTCAAGTCCATATTTTTAAAAATTAACTCGGGTCGTCTTTCGTTTGATTTAACTTTGCATGTTTCATCCCTGAAAGACAAATATGTTGTGAACTTAGTCCGTACGAAAACCCATGGTATGTTTCAAAACTTATGGTCGTGAGTTCAAAACTCACAGTCAACCTCAAAATGTGGCTTAACTTAAAAATTCATGTTCTAACTTCCAAAACTCATGGTCGTGAGTTTTACCCAATAACAGTTACCAAATGCTACATAGAGGAATTTGACTCATTTTTCATATGAATAGCTTTTGGAGCAATTAGGGGCGATTGTAGACAATTTTTGGAGGTTTTTTTTCAAAGTTTCTAATCATTGCAAAACACATGGTATTTCGATTTGTAAGCATTAAAATCTTTCAATTTATTCACTTTGTGTGATTTTCTTTAGTCATGTCTAGCTTAAAACCATAGTCTCTAGTTCTTGTTCAAAACATCATTTGACTTGAAACATATGACTCGATGTTTGATTTATGATTTTATTTTAGTGATTATGTTCGTGTTTTAACTAGAATCATTGAATTTGATTTGTGTTTGATTGGTCACTTATATGAATTGAGTTCTTTTGTAGTTAATTAATTTTTAGTGGCACCGAATCACCATTTAAGTTAATGACAGGTAACAAGCAACAATTTTCCTTATTTTATATATATATATATATATATATATATATATATATATATATATATATATATATATATATATATATAATACCTTTTTACACTTCCGAGTGTATGAAAATAAATGAACATTGTTGGGAAGCTTGTATAACTTTTAATGCGATTTTTCAATACAATTGAATAACATGTTTTGGTTGAATTAGTAAGTCTTTGTTTAGTTAAAGAGCATGTTTTGATTAGATAACTTGGCAAGCAAGAGGTATCAGAGCATGTTAACATATTTCAATATCAAGTTAGAATAGTAATTATAAATCATATCAAGGCATAATCAAGTTAAATGACAACAGTGAGAACTGGAGCTGGAACTATTTAATTCATTGTTTACAAACTATTACATTTTCTGGATGTTGTGACAGTATAATGTTATTTACATTACTCAACATATTGCAAAATAAGATCCATTTGTGACCAAAATACCTTACGCAAAGAGGAATAGATATTAGCCCTTTGTCTCTATGGACCGATTTAACTTGCCTTGTGCTACTTTTAATATAGTAGTGTTTTTAGAGTATATTGTACCCTTTTTGTTTAATGGGTTTGACACCCTAACAAAATGGCATTGTCAGGGACACGATGTAACTAATTATGTATGCCAAGATCCTTTTAAACAATTACCGTTTTGCCAATTGATACGTAAACAGAAAAAAACTCATAAGGATAAAGAAGCAACCAAATTCTCAGACTTCTTCTTCATTTATACCCAAACGGTCAACATTTGGGTAGAAGTCCCTATTTCAAGTAATTTAGATATAGAATCCCCCTTATCATCACCTCATCTGTCCTCACCCAAAGACATCAACCTATTAAGCTCACCAAATCATAATATCCAAGATCCTACACCTACTAAAACACTAATTCCACCAATCCACGTATGCATAAATCTACCCAAATAAGCACATGCTTAGTGAGTTTCGCAAAACACATAATACACAAAATCACATATTTCCATTCACACAAATATATATATATATATATATATATATATATATATATATATATATATATATATATATATATATATATATATATATATATATATATATATATAAGTTTCCATGGACTCCCTCCATGGTTTTCATTTGGAATGCCATGGGCTACCCCCATGATCTTGGATCCCCGAGCTGTGGGGTCCGACCATGGTCTTACCAAGTGTCATGGGCTCCTCCCATGGTCTTCACATAAGTCTATACATAGATCGATTAGCAAACCATTGTATGCTTAGTAACTAAACATCTCATATCAAATAATGGGCCGACCTTGGTGCCTTCGACCAAGTGTAGTGAGAAGACTCACCTTGAAAACTGAACAATAGCTGACTAGGTCCCGACTCTAAATATCAGATCTACTCAACCCCTAAACATAAACAATTCTTTAAATACAACTCAAAATGCCCCAAAACCTCTTATAGGTTAAACTTGGTTAAAGACTAAAGTCAAAAGTCAAAGTCAACGGCCCAAGTTGGCCCAACACGCCGAGTTGCCCTTTAACTCACCGTGTTTCTCCAATAACTGCAAATATCGGGAAAAATATTAGCAACTCACCGTGTTCACTGATGAACACGCCGAGTTAGCCAGAAATCCAACAGCTTAATGCATTAAGCTATTTCCATCGAATCTAGGAGCTCCAAACCTCAGATCTCCACCAAAATGATATCTAGAAGGGTAAAGTTTCCAAGTTTACCATTAGGAACCACCAAAATGAGTCAAACCCTAACCTAAGCCTCAATATAGTAAGGCTTGACCCATTAAGCCCATAAAACTCTAAAGACATAATCCCAAAATGCAGATCTGACATCCAAAGGATGGAAAATCTAGTAAAGTTTCCAACTTTATGTCCATGCATGCTAAAAAGAAACGCTAAGGCTCAAGAAGGGATTAGTAAAGGAATTGTTGCATGAATGGGATCTAGAATCTAGTAAAGTTTGTAACTTTAAGCCAAATGAGGCCATAAAATGGCCAAATCTTACACGACAACCCCTAGAACACTCAACTTCTAGGATAACCAAACCATGAGCCCAAAATCAAGATAACACCCTAAAAAAAGAGATCTAAACAATAAAAAAGCAATGTATAAACTTGATACCTCCAAGAGACCACAATAAGTGGGGAGATTCTAGCTCTAAGTCTTCTATCCAAGCTATACACCTTCAACTTCAAAGCTTCTTCAAAAGAGTACAAAAAGATCAATAATCAAGGCTCTCTACAAGCTCACAAACTCACAAAGGAAGATGTTACACACTATTAGGGTTTCTGGACAGAAGAGGTTGGTAAAGAGGCCAGCCAAGGGACTTAACGCCTTTAAATATGTTGCAACACCCTAAAAATTAGGGCTTCCTTCCCATACGCCAACACGCCGAGTTGAGGCACCTCGACTCGCCATGTTGGGATAATGTTTTATGGGGCTCAGGATATATAACCTATCACCCTCGTCCAAACCCTAACCCTAGCCATGTTTCAGCCACCAACTTCACTTCTTTGACTTCCAGCGCCTCACCACCACCGCAGTTGAAGTCGCTAACCACTGAAGCCATCACCACGAGCCTATTGCCATCGGTATCTCCGATCAATGGAGCCACTGTTGTTGGTGGTCTATTACCGACAACGATGATGAACAATGCCTATCGCTGTTGTCGTTTATGGTTAAAGAAGAGCAAACCTCTCCCATCTCCTTCTGCGGTTTTGTTCCGGTACTTCACTGTTGCGGTTCTGATGACTACTCCAGCTGCCACTTTTCCGTTTGACTACCACCATACTCTATTCTTTTTCTTCTCCATCTCTTTACAACGCCGCACCGCTGCTAGCTTCTGTTAAAGACAATCTGTTTCCAGACGCTAGGCTTTTGTTTCTGCTATGAAACGCCATTAGCCACTGTTGTGGCAGCCTCCTAGTGTTGTTGCTGCCGATAGTACCGCTACTGTCGCATTCTTGTGTCACTGCCACCACCGTACGCCACCAAGTGGGTGGTTGGGTCCATTTTGCAAACAAAAAACGTATGTGTGTAATTCTGCTATGAGCGTGTGTTTGTGTGTGGGGTTGTTTGCCCAGAATTCGCGAGAAAAGCCACCTCCGATGACCACAAGGGTGGCTGTAAGTGTGTGTATGTTATTGTGTGTGTGTGTGGTTATCTTTGGATATTGTTGTACACTTGTAATAAGTGGCTGGAATAATCAAGGAAATTTATAACCACCACCGTGAGGTGATGGCTGCCGCTGCGAGCTGCTGTTGACCACCACTACCCGTGGTGGTAGTAGGTGGTGTCCGACTTATTTAACCCTAATTGACTTAATGAGACCCTAGTTAACCTAAAGACCTAATTTGGATTAATTGGTTTGTAATTAGGGTTTGGAAAACCCTAATTTTGGAAATGTGTATTCTGGATTTGTCGGGACCCGCGT